GTTCTATTCTTGGTTTTATTGAAAAAAATAATAATAAATAAGAAGTGCTTTCGAAGATGACAAAACATTTTAAAGAGTTTTGCTTTGTTTTGCCTTTTTTTTTTCAAAAAAATAATGTTCCATAAAAATGGTGATGTTTTAATTTTATAGAAATGTTGACGAAAATATCGTTAAAATATTAATATCGATAGATATAACTATAAAAATAGAAAAAATGGTAACAAATATTTAAAAATGGACAATAACATAATGATTTATTTAAAAAAATTAGTAGAATTTCCGCATTAGTTGTGCGTGAGATTATTTCATTATCTTTTTGCCATAAAAACTTTCAAACTTATTTTTCAGATATGTTGGCCTTAGATACTGCAACAAGGATATCATCTTATTGTTTCAACCTCCTGATCAAAAGTATAATTCATGAGAGAAAGTAAAGAAATAAAACTTGTATAAGAGATAAATTTTCTTTSTATGTAGAGGTTGTGTATTCGAATATTCAGTTGAACTTAATGGAAAAAAAAAGAAAAAATTGATGCATCCAAAGTCGGGATCTTTGAGACGGATGTCAACTTTACAGATATGGTATAAAAGATAGTGACGATGATATAGAGATAGACGTCCAAGAAAGCGAGTTACCTCTCCCCCTCTCCTTCACACCATTCTTTCCATCATTTGTTTCTCCCTTAATTTTAAATTACTTATTTCTCTCATTTTATTGGCAATATATGGCACACATGATTTTTTTTTCTCTAAAAAATGAAATTATTATCAACGGAACTAACTTTAAAATATATATATATTTGTATTTGTAGAACAATATATGGAGGTGGATGATCAAACTCACAACTTCTTCGTTGAAGATATGTTGTCAATTACCGTTGAACTAAGCTCACTTTGAATTTAAAATAAATTTATTTTCTAAAACTTCGGATTAATTTTTGTTGAATGCCTTTTTATATATACTAGTATATTAATACGTGCTTTGCACGTTGTAACTTAGTTGCAACTTAATTTATTTAATCTAAGTGAATATTATTTATGTTTGAGACTATTTTCTTGAAGCATATTTGTCTCTCATTATTGTTTAAGATCAAACTAATAATTATTTATTAAATACAATATTATATAATTGTTGGACAACACTACTTTACAATTAAAAAAAAATATTTATTCTCTCGTGCTAAAAAATTTATTCTCTTGTGCTCTTTTAAAGGGAATGGAAAGGATAAAGAAAAAACAAAATTAGGAGGTTATGTAAAAATTGTGTGGGTAGAAAAATAGATAAGAGAACTTTTTTTTTTTTATTGTTTATTATTCTTTTGATTAGAAAGAGAATGGAGAGCTTTTGATATAGTCGTATAAAATGAGGAAGTTACATAACTATTAAAATTTTTAAATTTTTAATTTTTCTTTCTTAATAATTATAATTAAAGATAAGGTATAAATTTTGAAATTATTTTTTAAATATAATTTTGCTGTAAAGGATTTTAAAAATAGATAAAATTTTCCTATATATATTATAATTAAAGATAAAGAATTTATTATAGTAATAAATTGGCAAAAATTTTATATTCATAGTTTTCACATTTTATCATTTCACTTTTCTGAAATAATTAGTTTTAATATATTTTTAAAAAATTACACTATTTTAATAGTTGAATAATGTTATAATCTATTTTTCTAAAAAAAATAATATTATAATCTATAATTAAAGATAAAATCATAAATTTTAGAAATAAATTGACAAAATTTCTATATTTAGACTTTTAACATTCATTTAATTTTAAATTATTGGTTTCATAGAGTATTTGAACTTTGATTTAAATTTTTTTTAATTATTAATAAAAGTAAAAATATAATGAAAAATCATAAATGGTATAAGTCAATGTTTTGAATGAACAACATTGAGATGTTTATTTTGTGATAACAATTTTACGATTCATCCAATTATTACTTTCAATATAGTTTTTATATTTTTACTTTAATAAACATTATTTAATTATTAAAATATTATAATGTTTCAAAATCTATTAATAATTATAATTGGAGATAAAGTTGTAAATTTTAAAAATTTGTCACTTTATTAAAAGTGAAAAATCAAATAAATTTTAAAAGTTAGATAGATTTATTTGATAATGACAAATTTATCAATGCATCTAATTATTAATTTCAATATATTTTTACATTTTTACTTCTTTAAATATTAGGTTCAATTATTAATTATAATTAGAGATAAAATTCTAGATTTTAAAATTAATTTTTAAGAATAAATTATAAAATTTATATTCAAAATTTTCACATTATTTTCAATATTAATTTCATGAATGCATTTAAATTATTAGTTTTAATGTGTGTACTTTTATTTTAAAATTTATTTAATTGCTATAAGTGAAAAATGATAAATTATAAATTTTAGAAGTAAATAATTTGAAGGATGAACATAGAGAAGTTTATTTGGTTAAAAAAAACTAATTTCATTTTTATTAAAAAATTGGATTATTAATATTCTCTAATAAAATCTTCAATAAAAAAATTTTAATATATAAATATGATGAATGATATTCGCTAATAAATTATATGTATATATACTTACCTTTGATTGCTAAACAACACTGCTCTAAAAAAATATGGATGTTATCTACTGCACTAATTAAGAAATCGTCATAGAGAAACGAAATTGTGATACGACTCGTAAAAATAATAACAAGCAAAAAAAAAAAGTAGAAGAAGAAGAAAAAAAAATAAACCTCAAATTATGTTGGAAATAGATGGAAGAGAGATCTTTTATAGTTGTAAAAAAAACAGAAGGTTGTAAAACTTTTGAGATTCTAGAGGCTTTCAATATTCAATAATTAAACACTATTAAATATGAAAATTTTTCATATTCTAATATTTTAAATACAAATATCAAATGAATTGTCTAGAATTTCAAAAGATAARTAAATCAAATAGGTTTGATTAATCTTAATAGCATCTAACATTGAACACAAGTGAAAAAAAAAATCAAAGCAAAAGTAATTACTTTTAGTTGTCGGCAACCCACACCCAATAGGGACATATATGATATTTGATAAAATAGGAAGGATAATTTCGTCCAAAAAAAGTTTCTTCCACATCTGACTTTTTTTTAATATACTAGTAAGAAACACGTGTGTTACACCTAGAATCTTGTAGTTATAAATTAAAGTAAAATAAATAGTGTTTTTTAAGTTTATAATATTATCATTTTAAAGAAAGAAAGTGATTATATATAAATATAAATTCAAGATATGATATTTTTGTAATAAAAGAATATGATGAAATATTAGCATGAAAAGTAAGTACAAATTTGAAGTGTAAGAAAGATGAAAAAGCACCAACGTGCAGGTTTTTTTTTTTTAATGAATGAACGTTCTTAATTTACCTCTAATTTTCTTGATTGTAAATTATTATATTACATTTTATCTTTGTTAAATTGTGTGACGTTAAATCATTGAGTTTGTTCATTCTAGAATGAAAAAGAAAGGTAGGTGTGAGAGAAAGAGTAAACCCTAAAAAGTCCAACCTAATGATATTGAGAGGGATAAAAATTATTTGTTTGCCCTAACTTTGTAATAATAATTACAACATTTCACATATATAAATCAAAAGCATCGGTTTAAAAAATAAATAAATAAAAATCAAAATCATAAGCATTCTTATTATCCAAATTATGAGAATAATTTAATTTTGCTTTATCTCGATTCCATCGACCACCATCTCGACACATCGTACTCTAGAATTTCTTTCAATCTGAACAATGATAAATTTGGAGAAAGTGAACCGATGCCATCAACTCAGATTTAATTTGGTTGGAAAATTTTCCACTTTGTTCCATCCACCACATCTTGATTTTTGGTTGGCATGAGAAACAGAGGACACGTATTTATATATGGATTGGAAGGGGATTAGGAAGATGAAAGAATTGAGAGAGGGTATGTGATAATTGAAAGGAGGTTAGGAAGATGAAAGGATTGAGGGAGGGTATGTGGTAGATGAAAGAAGTTAAAAAAAAATCAATGAGAAAGATAAAGCTAATGAAAGAATAATCAAGAGAGAGAAGATTAGTAAGAGAAAATAGAGGAATTTAGAGGGATGAGATCGTGATGGAGAGAAGAGATAAATTGAGAGAGAAAATTTTTTTATTTAAATGACACAATTGCCATGAAAAGAAAAGTGAAGAGAGTTATAATGAGAGGGCAAAATGGTATATAGAAGTTTCTCCTCATCCAGCTTTTATATATACTATAATATAGATTATAAATATATTATTTATTTATTTATTTATTTTTATATAGATTATAAATATATTATTTATTTATTTATTTATTTTCAGAAGATAATAGATCATTAGATTTGACTTGTCTAATTAAATTATATTTGAATTGACTATCTTCCCTTTATTTATTTGTTGAAATGCCAAAAATTAAAATATAAGACAAAATGTCCTCCCTCCTTCCTCACATCCTTATCTCCCAGTCCTCCCCCTTCTTCACAAAAATTATTATTAATTCAAAAAAAATTTATATTTTAGTGTAATAGTGAAAAATCTTTATTTAAAAATGGTTAAGAGATAAAAGAACGGTTAATTTTTTTAAAACATAAAAGAACTGTAAAAACTCAAGACAAAGCATTTAAGTCGAATAAAAACCACCCAAGTAGCTAGATACCAAAGAACAATTAATTTGTGCATAATTCAACTGATTAAGGTATATATCATCTTAATCTAGTATTATTTTCCTCTGCTGTGTTTAATGATTCTCTTCAATTTTTATACATTAACTCTTCTTCGAAAGATAAGCATTGAGACAAAGATTTCCAGCATCATAATATTGAAAGTTAAGCATTGAGATAAAGATTTCCAGCATCATAATATTGTTTTTCTCTTATTGCGTTGAATGATACACATATTTTAATTAATTTTTATTCGATTAACATAAATAAGCATCGTTTATAAATTTTATCTGAGTACATACAAGAAGATTTCTATGATACGCTATTTGTTTTTCTCAAGAAATGATAGGTAGGTTCGTTCAAGAAAATTTTAAGATGGGTTTAACATTAATTTTTTGAACGAAATGAAAACATAAAACAATTACAAAATAAATCTATTCTTTAAAAAAAAAATTGAAAATAAGATACAAACATCATACAACACTCGAAAACCAAGAACATTGTGACTTGGGAGATGGTGGTCTTTTAGTTTACACTCTAACTTTAATATCTTTGTTGCAGTACCTTAAGGCCAACATACCTGAAAAATCATTTTCAATTTGTTAGTCTATGGCAATAAAAGAACTATTTCCTTTTCAAAAAAAATTAAATAAAAGAGATATTTCTACTAATATGAAGCACAACTAAGGCACAAATTTCCACTAATTCTTCTTTAAGAAATAATTATACCATTGTCAATCTTTAAATAATTAATTTACTTCTAAAGATGATAAAGAATACAATTCAAGATCTTAATAGTTCTAACCTCCCATCAATATCGTTTTTATCTCCGTCAAAAAAAAAATACATATTGTTTTCGTCATTACTTAAAATATATATATATATTTTATTACTTCTTTTAAGAAACATAGCTAAATTTAATAAAATAAGCAGTACATCTTTAAAATTTAACAACTTTAGAAATTGTTTTTTAAATTATAGTGTTTCCATCCCGACATTACTTTGAAAAACAAATCCTTCAAACATTTTGTCCGCTAACTCGTCTTTTTAAAAGACACTTCTAAAAATTATATAAAAATTCAATATAACAGAACACAAATATTTAAATGTCAAAAACATTATCAAAATACCAAAGACAAAGAGAGAGATATAAGGTACAAATTTATCTTTTAGAAAAAAAAATTAGTCTGAAAATAATTTTAATAAAATTATTATACAAAATAACTCACCGGCCGAGCATCATGAGGGTGGCCATAGGATTGGTTCCAGGCGAGTCGATGAAAGTGGAGCCATCCACCACACGAAGATTTCCAATTCCGATGACTCTGTAGTCACCGTCGACAACTTTTCCGACCAAACAACCGCCGTGGTAATGCCAATAAGTGGTCAACGATTTATGACAGAACTCTCCAACAGTACTATCATCCGACAAATTTTCCGGCAACGAAGGCCCTATAAACTGAAATACTTTCTTACCCTCAAAATCTCTCGTCTTAATCTTTTCCATGGTTGGGGTTTTAATCAAATCCCCCATTTTTCTTACTCCTACAACACATCGCGCAAGATCATCAGGATGAGAATAGTAATTGAATCGGACAATGGGACTCTTTTTCACATCAGTGGAAGAATTCAAGCGGAGGGACCCCTCAGAAAGAACCTCCGAGAATTTTCCTGTAAAAATGACTAAGCTGAGGTTGACGGAATTAGACTGAGGAGGAAGGAGACTAAAAGATGGGGGGATTGAGAATGGTAAAGGGCTGGCGACAGTTTGCAAATGGATATTGTTCTCCAAAGTTCCAACCACTTTTGCCGACGTAGGGACAAATGGGAATGGAAGTACAATGCTAGGGCCGAAACGGGGATTGTCGGACATGAATTCGCCGACATATGGTTGGTGGAGGACGACAGGTAGTTTTAAGGATGAAAGTTGAGATTTTGGGCCAATCCCACTTAGGAGGAGAAGTTGTGGACTCCCAATGGCTCCAGCGCTTAGAATAATCTCTCCTTTGTTGCGTATGAATGCTGTGTGCAACTTTCCTTCTGAATCGGAATATGAAACCCCACTTGCAGATAAACCTACCAGTTCATGCAAGCAAATGATGAATAAACTACCACTCAACTCAAAATTTTAAACAGGTAAAAATTATAATCATGTCAAGGATGAACAAACAACCACTCAACCAAGAAGCGGAATCTAATGGATTTGGTAAATTTAATTCATATATGGATATCTTAACATGAATAAAATTAAGAGAGATTTATAGGTAAGAAATCTAACAATTTAGATTTATTATGACTTACCAGAGAAGATTATTCTTTCAACTGTAGCCCGGATGGCAACTTTAAGATTTGTGGGATTGGCTTTATTGAGAAGCTCCACAGCTCCATGTCGGTTCCCTTTTCCATCAAAGATGGAACCTCCAATTCTAGTCCCCACAAGATGCCTCAAACCAAAGCCATTGTCAGGGAGAACACCACTTTCCAACAAAGCACTTCTAAAAGTAGGTTGCAAGGCACTCAGACTTGGACGAGACACCACAGTCTCTTCCACCCATTGATAGGCCTTCTCCACCAATTCCATGTCCCACTCCACGCCCGCCTTCTCAAAATACTCTCGATGGCCCCGCGAGTAGAAGCCGGCATTGATCATGCTACTGCCGCCGAGGACCCGCCCTCTTAAGTTCTCAACGCCATCCTCAGAGATGAATCGCTGGAACGGATTTTTGTCGTCATCTTCTGCAGCAAAAGCATTCAAAAGACCTTCTTCAACCAGTACAGAGGGAAATTTGTTGGGTTCACTGCCTCTTTCGAGGAGGAGAACAGAGAATTTTGATGATAATGTTGTGGCTAATGGGCAGCCTGCAGTTCCTCCCCCTACTATTATGTAGTCATATTCTTCTTTTTCTGGTAAATCTTTGGCGTCCTCTACAAACTTCATGTAGCTAACATCTGGGAAGAAAAACAAATACAATTTTTACAAATGATCTTAGTAAGGTATCAATCTTCACCTAGACATTCAATTATAATCATATTGCATAGCAATTTTATCTCAAATTTAAAAATCATTGCAATTTTTACTTTATAATAAGTTTCTATCTTAAAAATTATTAAAAAAGAAAAAGTATTTTCATGTGTATCTAATGAAATATTATTAAACACGTCTAGTACAAAATTTATAGGATTTCAAAGAAAAGCAACATTTTTTTATTAAAATTTGTGAATTTTGGGTGATGTAGTATATTGTCGATGATGTGCTTTAATCAAATTTAATTTTGTGCAAAATTTAATTCCATTGAAATGAGTGAGTTTAGTGGGTGAATTAACAAAAATTAGACTGAAGGTAAAAATTACAGTACTGATGGATGAAAATTAATGCAACTTGTCAAATTTATAGGTAAAAATTGAGTTTTTAAAGAATAATAATTAAGAAGAATAAGAACCAATTGCAAGAGAGAGAGGGGATATTACCTTGATTGGGAATAGTGTGTGAGGAGAGGACTTGCAATTGGAAGTGAAAGATAGAGACAATGAAAAGTAGGAGAAAGATAGCCATAGAATAATGCTTCATGCTTTTTCAAAATCTATATGTGGAAGAAAGATAGAGACTTGGTTTGTTCCTTAAAGTTTGCAATAATATTTGGTATTTATAAACACAATTTTGAATCAAAATTGAATACAAACAGTTAGTTGGTCAAATTTGAACATAGATTTTCTTATTCAATCAGTCTTTTCTCGTGTGCTAACAATTTTTAAATAATATACATTTAGTTTTTAAGCTTTCTTTTTTTAAAATAGGATTAAAATATTAAACATATATCTCATATGAAAATATCACTTTCAAATCTTCTTTGGAACTAATAGGACTCAACTACCGGACTCAACTATTCCTCTTTAAATTATTACTAATGACTTAATTAATTACATAATGAAAAATGAGAAGTTGTCGGCGTTTGGTTGTTTGGTTGTTGATACAAACATTTACCTTTGGCAGCATTTATAAAGCGAAATAAAAAGTTTTTTTTTTAATATATCATGGGAAATTAGAAGTTATGGGTTATGTATTTTTAATGGGTAGTAAAATATTTATTATATTTATAAATATAGCAACAGTTTTTTGATACGACAAATATGGTAAAAGAATTTTAAATTAAATTTCGTTTTTCGTTTTTTTATTTTATCTTTATTATTTCTAGAAATCGAAAGATATTTTTTATTTAAAAAATCCCCCATTGACTTTTTTAAACCTTTTTTTTTCTAATTTTGACTAGATGTCCATTTTTTTTTATAATATTTCAAATCAAGAGAGTGGTTTCTATATTTGAAACTGACTCTTCTTTCGCTACATTTGAAAATCACGCTTAATTAAAAGTTAGGGTGAAATTGAGAAGTCAAAATGGTTGATAAAATATTGTTAAGTGAAATGGCAAGAGGGATATCGTGAGGTAGGTGCAAAATAATATATAAGTTTTCTTTAGCAGTACAAACAGATAAACTGGATTGTTGTTATTTATTTATTTATTTTGAGTAAAAAACAATAGATAGGCTGTCGAACACAACAATTGAATTGTTTTTTCTTATACTTCAGTTGTATTAATAAATGCTTATTTTTTTTCTAATCTCCGTAGGTATTCGGGCTAGCTTGAATGTACCTCAATTAATCTATAAGACAACCTTCTGATCCTATTATAGATGTTGTTGTCAAAGAAATACATAAAAAATTAAAGTCTAAATGATTTGCTGATATTATATTAATTTTTTTTATCACCCAAGAGTCGACGGTGCTTTGGCGTTTATGCTCCTATACCTGAGGTGTTTGCGCATTGTCCTCATACTCGTACATGCACAAGAAGTTATTATTTGGTGGAAGTTGCAGTGTCATGTAACTTGAACCCAAGACCTCAAAGGATATTTCTTGAGGGCCCAAGCTATCCCTTGGAGACGGCTAATGTTATATTAATATTTTTTGGAAGGTAAAATACAGTCTACCATGTAGAAGAAGGAGAAAAAAATCACATCACATGATCGAATAAACCTCAGATATGGACCGTGATCAAACTATTAAGTTCGACTGAAATGATTATTAATATCTCAAATGGTTACTAATGACCTCGTGAAGGTCAAAGCTGAGGAGTCTTGAACAAATGTTTGTAATTGTGTAACTGATATCTGAAACGACCTTAACATATTGAAGATATGGGACATACGTGCTTTCGAGGGGATCAGATTTGGGCGAATAATTTTTGTTTATTAATAGTCCAATTTTATTATTAGAGAGAAGCTTTTATTTAATCAATAATAATATAATTAAAGAGAGCACTCAAAATGAGAATCTAATTATCAATCTTATTAAGAGAGAATTTAAAAGATCTTTTAATATTGTTAAAAGTAATTACTCAATTATGGAGATACGCAAAAGATTTTGTAATATTAATAATTGTTTTTAGCATTAATAAACTTAATTTATTGAAAGAACCCTGTATTATGTCAAATAAGAGATAAATCAAGTATTTAATAGAAAAATGACGAATAGTATTATCTAAAATAATTTCCTTATCTAGACTTCGTATTATATTCGTAGTGTATATCCCTTGCGAAATAAGGAAGAATGATCCTGACATGTAATTATGAACAATAATGATAATAAATGTATTTTTTTCAAAGATATATTGAATTTGTTTTTGACTATATATATCTCAAATATATAAGCCTAATATATATATATAATGATCTCTGGCAGTGTTAATCTTTTATTTAAAAAATTAAAGTATAATATGACAATAAAAATAATTATATTCAAATCTTCGTTGTCATTACAAACATAAGCTCAAAACATGTTTTTATAAGAGGACTACAAAAGTAGCACAAAGAATATATATATTTATATATACAGTATTAGGTTTAAAAGTTTACAAAAATAACATAAATGGTAAATTTATACAATTATATGATACCAATTAAAAATTATTTTTGTGACCTTTTTGTAAAAAAAAAGAAAGAAAAAGAAAATAATATATATATATATATATTTATTTCGTTGGGTATGATTCTTTGATCTACAAATAGGTTCTATTTGTCCCTCCACCAAATTTTAAGCTCCAGATGAATGTTGATTATTAATATTACAAGTCCTTTACGGTCGGTGCATATTTGCCAAGCCGATCTCTTTGGATACTTTATTCGACGAATCCGTTGGAGGTCCGAGCCGACTTATAAGAAGATGTTCGCAGGGATGTTGGCTACACCATTCTTCGATAACACGCCGTGTTTCACGGGCGATCGGGTTTCTGTTATCCCATTGTAAGAAGCCCTATCGGAGATTATCCCAATAAATAAGGATGCATGCCCCTTATACAACGTACGTGAATCCATTTGCATTCTGAATGTTAGATGGACTGTGACTGACTTGCTCGTCGGAGTGTTGACCTTGTTTTGCAGGCTTTTCAGATGATTAAGGTAGATTGTCTCGTGGGTGCCGATCTCGAAGGATTCCCAACTTGACCATTTCGAGATTAAACAATTATCATTCTTAAGATTTCTCGAGAGTGATCCCGATTCGAGAACGATGAATAAAATTAATTACTCTATGTTCATTTAATTAGGAAAAAAGATATACAAAAATGCATTTTAACAAAAAATTAATTACTCTATGTTCATGAATGGCGTGTCCCTTCCTAAAAAAAGAATGATAAATTGTAATTGTATACGTAAGAAAATTAATCATATGATTTGTAGAAGCCACAAGGGCCCAAAATTTGGTAGGAAGCAGGGGTGTTGAGGGAACCCAACAGCTTGACGAACCCGACTAAGGATTGGGTTGGGTTGGATTGGAAAAATCCCAACCCGACCGGGTTGGATCGGGTCTCGGGTTGACCCTTGAAAATCTCGAGTCAAACCCGACCCGACCCGAATATATATATATATATATATATATATATAATATTACATATATATAATAAATCAAATTCAAAGTCCAAATTTTGGTCTTGGTCAACTAAATCATCCCTTTTTATAACTATGATGTCTCTATTATTACTCTAAATTGGAGTGCCTCTGATAACCTCTTATTTTTTGGTATGTTTTTCAGGTAACTCTTCCGTAGATATATATATATATATATAATATTACATATATATAATAAATCAAATTCAAAGTCCAAATTTTGGTCTTGGTCAACTAAATCATCCCTTTTTATAACTATGATGTCTCTATTATTACTCTAAATTGGAGTGCCTCTGATAACCTCTTATTTTTTGGTATGTTTTTCAGGTAACTCTTCCGTAGAGAAATCTCTCTTTTGCAAATAAAAAACGAAAACAAAAAAAAACAAAAAAAAAAAGAGAAAAGAAAAAGGAAAAAAGTTGCCAACTTTTAAGTATAATTGTCTGAAAAGTCAAATGAACAATACCTTTTTAATTCAACGTACAGCCAAACCACCCGACAAAAATGGAAGAGATTTATTAGGGCACGGAAGCACATGTCAAAAATGGCTACCGTAACGTGTTTTTCTACCTCCAACCTAACTATTAAGACAAGAGAATGTTGATTCGAATATCATTTGAACCGATGGTTTGTTTTATTGGAAATATACGTTAAGGATCGCACCGTGAAAAGATAAAGGATTTAACAAATGTTTATAATATAAATGAACTACTCATCTGGTTGTCAATTAATTTTGAGATCGAGTCTCATAAATGTTAATAATATAGAAGTATGATATCTTGGCATCTTCAAATAGCCACGTTTGTTTTAATAGAAAATTTATATTCGATATAAACAACGACGACTTCATTATTGTCCTCTAAACCGACATTCCTACAATCTCTAAACTGAGGTGCTTTTATTTAGCCGTTGTTCTTTAAAAAATCATATTTGCAACCGATATATACCAATTACCACTAAGCTGGACTCGTTTTGGCCACATTACTTAATTTTGATTTTTAAAGTTTTGAGATTTTTTTTATTTTTTTATTTTTTATTTTTTGAAGTTCTCAATTTTGTATAATATTTTATATTCTATTTAACAGAAATCTCATATATGCTTGTGTTTTGATTTTCTTTTCTTTGTTTTATTTTTTGATTACTATTAATTAAAGTTGTGGAGGTTCTCTAATCAAGTTTTGCTTAGATTTTGTGGTTGGTTCATTTCCCTATGGTTATAGTAAAAATAAATTGAAATATAATGTAATGGTGACGTAATTGGGTGATCATCTCTTAGTAATATTGGGTGATCATAACCATATAGAAATAACCAGCAACTTAATTTTTAGTATCAAAACGAGCATAATTCAACGATAATTGGTATATATTTCCAAATCAGAGGTTGTGGGTTCAATCTCCCAATATTATACTAAAAAAACCTTGTCTTTTAGCAAAAAGTTAATCACATAAGTCTCAAATGATTATATAAAATTGATGAATTAATTTGAATAACATTCAACAGCTGATGAATTTGTCATATTTTGTTTGATTAGATAAATTATATTTATGTTCAATAATTTATTGGAAAAAAATCTTTGCGGGGCCAAGAAAAAGATTTGGAACTGAAATCTAGTTAAAGAAATTACCCATTGGCGTAGCATCAAAAATGTTGGGCTGGTGGTGTTTGT